CAAGAAAAAAGTTCTCACCAGTTCATCGTAGTAATTCGCGATTTGCGAATAGATGAGTGAATCGTAATCCATTGTCACAAATATCACAAAGCACTATAGATACGTGTAAATAAAGGACACTCCACACGTGACACGATGACGTCACTTATACACTTAACAGACGGAAGTGTGAACGAAAAACGCGGCGAAAGGGCCGGCGTGATATTGTAACTGTTGAGTTTTCCTGAGCAGCGTCGATACAAGACGCATTGGCCGAGCAACGTCTGACGTATACGCCGCTTGTAAAGCTAAAATAAGACCAAATTTTAAACACAAATCTTCGGTGCGCGAAGCAACGCATAGAGCTGCGTTTACCACCGATACGCTAATTCACAACGTATTCTATGTTAAATTAAACAGGTCGATTCGTTTATTAGAGCTCGCTTCCTGGTGAAATGGATTCTGTGAGTTATTACTATTGATTTTTGTTTCAAATATAATAACGTTTACAATTCCTATTGTGTCTACTGTAATACGTAAGGAAATTCATATGTACAGATATTTTTTTATATTTAAGGCTTTATCAATATACACCAATTATTTCCAGCTTCTCAATGGAGTTTGCAACTATACGATATTTCAAAGATAGTAAGTTTTGTCACACTTGTATTTCATTAGGCACACCATGTACCACGCTACGAATATATCCCGACGTTTCATTTGGAAAGGAAGCGAGTTATGCGCGTGTTAGGAACAGGCTGGTGCCTACACTGTTCCACGGATAAATACTATAATATTAGTATATCGTATATATAACAACGGGTTAAAAAAAAGAATTTTTAATATAATAATATAATGATAAGTTTACGTTAAATGTTTATGTCTAAGTGGTACATTAAGATACATTTAATGGCTACTGAAGGATTTCAATAGTTTTTTAGTAGTTTTAGTAAGATAAATCTACACTAAGGGGTTGCCTAAGTGCTACATAGTTTGTTAGTAAAATGCCAAACTATAATACATTAATTATTATAAATTAAAATATTCTAAAGAATAATCTACCACCGCCCAGACACTTCAAAGTCCATAGAACCGGGCAAACAATTGTAGCGTAATGTAGAATAACAATGTTTGACAAATGCACCGCAACACGGAGAGGGCGCCAGCAGCGTGTGAGGGTTGAGACGGCTGGACAAAACGTCGTCTACCTCAACTACACCGCAACACCGCATTGCTGGAATTTATAGTAGTGTAGTATACTAAAGTAATGAGATAAAACACGAGATGAAACCTAAATAGAAGATCTCTACCGACCGTTTTGGATCATTAATATGAATAAAATATATTAAGATGCTAACTGTTGGCAAATTTATTTTGTAAATTATCGTTTTATTACAATGAATAAATGAGAAAATGTGTTCAGTAATTTATAATTATCAGTGATCACTGTTATTTAATGCAATTTCAATAATACGTAAAATAGATAGGTTGCGAGATAAAATCACATACATTTAAAAAGTTGAACATCAAATAGAGATTCAGTGCTCGCAGCGAGCCAAGATTCGTAGTTTATTTGATTTGGTTCAAAGCGCATCCTTTAATTCCCATATCCGCGGCGCACGCACGACCTGTTGCTCTGCCTACGGCTGGATGCTTTCCAGTGCTTAAGTGAAATATAGTCAAATAAAAGTATTGTTGTTATCATTTAAGTTTTTCAATTTTCGCAAGTCCGTGCCAAGCGTGCTTGCTCCTACGCTGTTATTTAACGTTTGGTGCTTAACCCCGTATTAGGTCTGCATTCGGAATGTTATGGGCACGTGTTGAGAATTTTCTCGTTATCCACAAATTGCTTTTATTTCGCTGTAACGGTCTGTAATGATTTTCATTTTAAATTGTTGAGGAAATTTATGAGTTACGAAATAGCAAATACCTATATTGTTTTTTTTAGAGATATTTATTACATTGGCCAAATTAAATAGGTGTACAATGTATTTAGGTGACCGTATTTATTTTTTCATACTGATTACGTAAAATTTACATAAATAAATATCATATTTACCAAACATCTAGAAATTTTGTGCGTGTTTGCAAAGCAATTCCCTAGGCGTAAGAAGCGTAAAACATTGTATAATACATTTTTTTAATGTTATTCTATTTCACATTTTGAGCTGTCTCTTTTTACACTTAAGGGAATTCTGAAGGGAGCTTTTTTGATATGCGGTTGAATTTTTTTTTTACTTAAAGTAATTGAATTTGAAAGTTATTTCCCCTTCGTAATGAGACAAAGTAAAAATAGGTCGCCATTTTAGCTATAGGTGTCTTGTGAGCCGTATTTATGTTTGTAATTCAACATGATTAAAAAATTCTTCGTGTCTTTTACATTGACGGAACTTTGTATAAAAGCCTAAGGACAACTAAACGATTAACGAACTAACTCAACAAGTAAACGATTATTCATACCAATGTATTTTTTGTGTCCAAACTAATTAGTATTCAAATTCCAATACCAGTTAAATTCTCTAAAGGATAGGTTGCCTATCCTTTTTCTTATCAGTATCTCGTGCAATGGACAGCTAACGAAGCGAGTAACAGTAAACCAGTCATAAATCTTCACCGAGTAAATAATTACAGTGATAATATAATCCGATAGCGATCTTTACAACGTCACGACTGACGTCATTGTTAGCTGATATTTAACAGGGATCAAGTAAGGTTTGGAACACACTAGCGTGTTAAATAACTTTATTAAACGACAGGTCCATGTACTTTAACCCTTATTACGGCAAGATTTATTTTTTGAAGAAAAGCAAAAAAAAGTTAAAAATTGTTTTATAATTATCGTATATTTTTATAAAGTTGTATGTATACTATACAAAATGAACATAAGGATTAAAATAGGTTAAGACTTTGAGATACAGAACTCAATAATGCATATATTCGACTACATAAACGAAAAATAGTCATGTATATGTAAAATGAACCTACGTCCTTGACCACATGCCGTTTGCCTAGTTCGTCTTCAGCAGTGAGACATTAGGTACGTCTCGTTAGCTTGCTCACGGTGCTTACAAGTAAGATAATATTTTACGTACAAGTAAATACGAGTTATTTTGAAAACTACCAAGAGTCATCATGTAGAAAAATAATTCTGGCATATAATAAAAAGTGAAAATAAAAAACAAAATTAAAAAGAAAATCTTTTATTTAAAATATACATGCAAAATTGGAATGAAGGACTAGAAATTTCCATCTCAATTTCAATAGAAATTTATGCAGCACATCAAATAAAATAAATAAATGTAACATTTGATTCTCTCCAGCATGTCATACGCACGTTCAACTAAGAACTACATGTCAGTTCATAACGCCGCGGCGGTATTGTCGACGAGAAAATTTTTATCTTTATGATTTATTTCGCGCTGACTTTATATAGCGAATTCTTTTTAAACGTAAACAGAATATACGGCGTGATGCGTTTACGCCTTTATATAGGTACGAAAGCGCGTACCTCATTATTTATAAATGCCGTTATGGGCTCAAAATTTCTTACGCCTGAATTATTTAATCTCCTTTTCCATTAGGGTTTTGCGAAATGACACTATATATATTCAGAGCGTGCACTGGGAACGTACGAAAAGGACTTTATGGAAAGATTAGGGTCGAGATCAAAAATTAAAACTGATTATACTTTTTTTTATATTATGCCCATGATTTTGTTTTTTTACCATAACTAAGATTTTTTGAGCGTTGTTTCGTTCTAAAACAGAAGTCAAGGAAGTTGTCCATTGTACGTGACGTCATACTTAAACACCCTGTATTTTTTAAATTATATTTTTATTAAAGAGAGAGTACTATTATGATGTAGGGTTTTTTATAATTTAATAATAAATATAATTACTTTATATCTAATATACATACAATACTTAAAATGTTCTATTATTTTTCATTGAAAACTTTTCATTTCTAACCTTTCGGGTACTACACAAGGGACGGGTTTGTGAAATTTTAATGCAACGTAATCTTAACACGTTCCCTTCAGTATCGGGACAAATTAGTCGCACCTGATCCGAGAGTTAGAACAGTTTTTAGTTATTCTGGCATCATTTTGTAAAACTAATGCGAAACATGTGGAATATTCTGTACGCTATTTAGTCTATGATATTATTATTTTAAAGCAATTCAAAATATTAATAATAATTACGTTTGATAGATATATAAAAGAGTAGTACATACTATGCCGGCCCTCAAGAGAGAAAGGGACAGGACGATATTAATGACGATAGCAAAACGAAACATATGTATTTGGTATGTATTTTTTTTCGAAGACATATCCTTTGGTCGTAACTAAGATTCAGTCCATTCTTTAGGAAGTCTATTGTTACAGTGTCTTGTATACGTTCATGAAGGGTTTCTTAATTTTCAGAATAGAGTTCCAGTATTTTTTTATATTCTCTATATGTTACACGTAAATATGATAACAAAGTTGGACATGTTTTGTCAAAAGAAATAAAAGCATGATATGTTTTTTTATCTGTGGGTTTTGTTAACATAGAGTATGAAATATATGTCGTATGAAGCTAGTTTATGACACAATTTGATGTTACCCTTTCCGCGATAAGAGCGACCGAGTGCTGTTTTTGATAACTTTGGATGTCCCAAGCCCAGGGCGAGTTTACGATGATATTCTCATTATTCTAGAATCGTTTTACGAGTTTATATAAAATTACTTTTGTTTATACGAAACAACATTATGACAAGAATATAAAACAGTTATTTTAATAAAGGAAAATTAAATTTTAATGTAATTAATTAACCACGATAATAATTGTAGATCTCATTATTATCAAGTAAGAATCTTTTGTTATAAATTAAAAAAACCCCAATTATTTTTTTACTGCTGACTCTTTTTTTGTCTAATTTATATATCGTATAAACGTGGTAAATGTTTTCAATGTTGTATTGCTAAAACACTGAAAAGTTAATATGCAATATATTATACCGATGTATAAATGAATACTCACCCCAGGTAGTGTCCGTTTTTCATGTAGCGCTGTTTGTGCGTTTGACGCGCTTTCTGGATTGAAGTATGTGAGAAACGCACATCCTGCAGACAACAAACAATATAGCATTATTATTTTACATATTGTTTTAAATTTATTTAATTAAGTTAAAGTTCAAGGTTAGCTTACTTTGATGTTGATCAAAAATTCTAATTACAAATCATCACTAATTAACATCAAATTTACCATACCATAATAACCTATTTAAACAAATTTCCTTTATTTACAAACTTGTTTACTTTTAAGTTAAATTTTAATTAATAAAATTGTACTATTGTAGATATAATACTTTGTATAACAGACTAAAAAAAATAAAGCAAATTCCTTTTAAAATTATTGCTTGGCTTGACTTTATAACCAGATTCAATTTATGTTCCGATCGATACACGAACGCATCGAATAACATAACCAAAACAAACTAATCCTCCACCAGTCCGCAGCGGTTGTGTGGCCACATCACAGATTACCCGCACTCACATCTAATCGAATGGGATTTCACTAACGATAACGTTTTAAATGGAACAGAGTTATATCGTCATCTAAATTCGAGTCATCATTTTGGACGGTAATAGAATAATGCGTTTAATTTCTTTATCAGCTTTATATCAATATAGATTAATGAACTGCAAATTGCTTTTCGTTTGTCAGTTCTTTTTCAAATGTAGGAAAATCCAAAAGTGGTTTATCAAAATACAAAAATCACAAAACCTAAAGTCGGGTTTCCACGGTGCGTGATTCGGCGCACGCGCACGATTGCGAACGGCAGCCTATATTTTTACCCGATAGACTTAGGAAGGTTTAACTTAGTATGTAGCCTATGCTTTCTTCCAGTGTTCTACATTTATACCAAATTTCATGGACATCCGTGCAGCCGTTTTGTAATTAAGTATTATTCTAACTTCTAACAAATATCCATCCATCCATCTTATCCATCTAACCATTCGCATTTATAATACTAGTAAATATAATATTAACATAGTCAAAGCTTTTTTCTCCAAAAACAAATTTTACGTTCATCCGTTACCTAAATATCCTAAAAGATGGATACAAAGTTCCATTCACGTTTTAATATAATCTTAAAATTGTCTCAAATACTTAAACCCAAGAGAGAACGAAGGTAATAAAGTTTGTTACGTCCCTTATAATCACTCCTTTCCCTTTTTCATTACGGTTTTTCATTTTTCTTTCTCCACGTAATCGAATATTTACCTTGAGGCTGTTCTGATCTAATCCAAGGACGCTGTTGTTGAAGCAAAAAAAGGATTACTTATTTTGTTAAATACAGAATGTATTTGCCGAAAGTTATTTTATGTTTAGGTATAAATATAAGTTTTTTTAGCACAATGTCGTTGTGAACAACGTTGTTGGTTACATAATTACACAGTATGTGCTATATATGTTTAAAATATAAACATATTATGTAACCGTTAGTTGTTTTATATAAAATTAAAACATTATTAGCTCTATTCTTATCAATGTTGTTGAGCTAATAATCGTATATTTAATATATCACGTAAGTTTTAACTAAACTACTTTCAGGAATAAGAAGTCGAGTCATGGTTGCCGTTTCTACTTATAAAGTTTACGAAAAAAATGAATTGTGTGGAATCTTGTACATGCCAAATTTTAACGAGATACAGTCGTCCTGGAGATACCTTCTAACACCCCAAATCAATTGAAAACTTTACTAGAACTCTCAATAATAGAATACAAGGGTATGTTACAGTATATGTACGTTTAATGTAGATGACATTCAGCCAGAAACAACACGAGCCCAGGCGTGCCGTTGTTTAATGTATGTAAAATGCATTACAAGTAGTTTCGTACTAAATATACGAATACGCGAATTGTTTAATAGAACAATTATTCACGATACGTGCGCCAATATCCTGCATATATTTGTTTCCACCGCACTACGAATAACAAACGATCATTTTAATTTCATTTAAACAATACGAGTGCGACAAAATCGGTCTAGAGTTTTGTTATTCTGTGTGTAGAAATATTTGAAAACAGAATCGTGATTTGATTCATACTCATGTTACAAATGCGAGTGGACGTATGGATGTTTGTTAAAAGGTATGTCCAGGTGTAGTATCTGTAAGGATCTGGCTGAAATTTGACATTGATGTAGAACATAGACTGCAAAAATATACAGACAACTAATTAGGTTTTTTTAGTCTCGCGCGGATGCAGTCAACTGCTGATATTAATAAGTTTAAAAAAAAAATCATTAAGCATGTTAATGAAATGTTAATTCGTGGTAATTGTAGTCAGTAGGTTTTTTTCGACCAGATTGTTTCTTACTTCTTAATTTATCTTTAACTTATCTTTTAACTTCAAAGAAGCACTTTCTACGTTAATAGATAATTTAATTTCTATTTTACAAAATAATTTTTAGTTTTACAACCGAAGAAACCTGTCATATTAATTTAACACAACATTTGTTACAAAAATATTGTACACCATCTGTTGTTGTGTTGGTTCACTTTGCAAATAAATAAATCATCTTTCCCGCCGTCCGGCCGCGCCGGTCGCCATCTTGTATTGCTAACGTGTTCATTTCCTCCGCCTATACATTTCCGGTCCATTTGATGCTGCCAGCTACTATTTTTAAAAGAATTTGACGTAAATATGAACTGGATTAGAACCATTGTGATACCTCATTGTTGGTAAAAACCTTTATTATGTTACTACGCTACGAAATGTTACGTTTTCCATTATGACGATCGCTAGTATAAAAATTAAAAAATTGCTGTATTTTCAAGTTAATAAATACCTGATATTTCTAAAGGATTAAGTACATTTGTGTTACATAAACTAATTGCTAATAGCTTGCTCTCGCTGGCAGACCGAGCCAACCAATTCCGAACATAACAAGGAAAAAAGCAAATAGCCAATGTTGTTTTACTCGATATGGAGGCATCCAATCGATTCTAAGTTCGAAGCCAATCCCTGTAATTGCGAGCGTTTCAAATAAGAACAATAGGGGCGAAATTAGCCGGCTGTAGTGGTAAGTTACGCCGCTTGCTCGAATTTGCATCGCCCCCCTCTCGCGCCCGCCGCTCCTCCCTGCCCCCGCAGACCCGTCGACCACTAATTAGCCGTTAGTCGGCTTTTATTTCCAAGCTGGTGTTATCTAAGCCCTCGTAATCTGCTACCGCGACGCCCACCGACTGCTGGTAGGATAGATAGATAGATAGATAGATAGATAAAGCCTTTATTCGCTGACAATTATTAAACTTAAAATTATTATACAATATTGACAAACTTATTTTCTAGTAATTAACCTATGTTAGATGTATGTTTAATCGATTTCCCAGCATCCCGTTGCGTGTCAGGTTGTCCCTTGACATAGGCCTCCCCTAGTCTCTTCCGCTGGTAGGATACAACAAAATAAATCTGATATTTTTTTTAATTACAGCTTGGAAACTTAAGAATATCAGCTCGTTTTATTGCTTTTACGCGAATATAGAAGTTTTACATACAACTTTACTGAAGTAGATAGTATTTCAATCAACTAGAGGCTTCTTACGGTGAAGGAAAACATCGTGATGCAACATGTACATATCTGAGAAGAAATTCAAAGATATGTGTGAAGTCAACCAACACGCACTTGGCCAGCGTGGTTGACTATGGCTTAGTCATCCCTAATTTAGGGTAAGCTCCGAGCCATTCGGTGGGAACGTTCAGTTAGCTGATGACGAGAGGCTAGTCTTTGTATAATATATGATCAATTTCAAGAGGTATTTTCAAACTATTGCTTGAAGTCTTTAAAAAAGAACATATTTTTAAATAAAATGAGCAAAGCATCTTCAGATTCTGATAATGTGATATCACTTAGCATTTGTTGAAATGGCCTTTGACTTAATAGTGAAAGATGTAAATAAAATATTATAGTCAACAACATTTACCTATATTAGTTACATTGTTTGAACCTAAATACACCTCTGGATAACAGATTATTGGCAATAACTATAAGTTAAAAGAGATGATTAAACAGATTAAAGGATATAAAATTCTTGTTAAAACTCATGAACGATTTCTTCACAATTTCGTACCATTGTGTGGGAACTTTCAACTAAATGAGATAAAGTGTAGCCGCGAGTTTTTCTCCGTCGCCCAGCCCCAGCCAGACGTCTGCCGGCGCTCGCTATAAATTCACGACTGTTTGTGATTAATTAACGTTGGTGATAACAAAATAACGAGTTTCAGACGTACTAGCTGACTTGAAAGCCGTCTGAGGGGAAACTATTTATCTGAGCGTACTATTGCCATAATAAATTCTCCCTGCAACAAATGACGCCTAACGTGTTCGCATCTTTTGCAGTATTTCCAGTGTACACGAATCTTTATAGTTATCTAACTGTATACTTACGAGAGTTTTATTAAGTTACTTGTTTTGAAAAGAAAACAAATGAGTAGATAAAAATAAATATTTTCATGATACTGGTGGAATTTTTGGATCCTTCAAGAAGCAAGCTTATCACCATCTCAAAGGCCGGCAAACGCATCTGCGGTTCCTCAGCATGGGCGTCGTTGAACACCTCGGTGTTCCCGCTGCTCGTTTGCCCCCTTTTGTTATAAAAATATGAAGACAAACTTACACCCTAAGGGTTATTTAAAATGATTTTCTAAACAGTCCCCTTGTAAAGCCTGTGCATGCTGGTAAATTTTCCCTTAAATATATTAAATCAAAATTAAATTATCAATTGATGTATTCAATGTTACCGACACAAAAATTAAATACATAACAAATTCGTTTTATTTCACGTGAAATTCCATGTGAAGTGTAACCTTCAACATGATTACATTTGCGCAGTGTTACATAAGCCAGTGGCACGTTCGGCTGTTAATGTGTAAAAAGCATTACAAGTAGTTGCCACGTCCAAAGTGTACAAAGGTGGTAACAATCGATGCTTCTAGAACTACCAAGGCTACAGAGATCACCTGGATGAATAAACTTTGTCTTTTTATTTGTAAATGCATTAAGAATTATAAGCATAAAGGATCGCATATTTTTGTGTTAATTTATGATATATTA